CCCCCACCCCCCCCGTCGACGCTCGCGAAACAGAGGGCCTCATCATATAACTTTGCATGGGGCCTCAAGTTGGCCAGGGACGGCGCTGGGACTCCCTCTGCCGCTCTGCTCGCTGATGTCACTCAAGTCTTAACTCTCCCAAACACACCCAAACACTCCAGAGACATGTTCTGTGTATATCTGGACCTATAATATATTGATGAAAAACAGTATAATAGGGGACCTTTAAGTGAGGTTTTGAATGCAGGATGTTTACTGGGTGATTTTCACACTGTGGTTTTAATATGTTTATTTAAATAACTTTGTTGATCTTGTTTTTAGCTCTATTTGTTATCTCACTGAACAGAGTCCCTGTATGTGAACTGGTTCAGCTGATAAGGCTGGTTATGAATCAAGAGGAGCTGCAGACAGGGAGGGAAGTTGAAAGTGAAAGTATAAAGTCAGACTTGTCAGAGTGCCAGACACCATTTTACAGCTGGACGGAGCAGGAGGACAACAGGGTGAGTGTTAACAGGATCTGCTTTTTAACACATTATTTACTCTGTTTTACTGGATGTCAGAACATCAGCGTCTTAGAGTCCAAAGAGACTTCTACAAGTGGTGTAAACTTTATTATTTCCTGTTTTCTGATTCATCAAAGCAACATAACCTGCGACAGCCCAGCGCAGTCAAAAGAGCGGCCTGTCTGAAGTCTGACTGATTTGATGTTTTTTAACCAAGTGTTAAACTTTCCTGTCGGCTCCCAGACCGTAGTGGAGGAAGCAGGGGTGACTCTCTGCAGTCTTCCAGGGCCGAAGCAACAAACTTCCGGTTCAATAACCCACTTTTCAATAAGGCAGACAGGCGAGCTCTTCTTTGGGAGGCCGTTGCATTTATTAAGGTCTTTGTTACAGATCTAACTTTGAAGACACACGACAGACCTTTGCTGCTGTTTCATTCACCTCAAAAACACATACCACCGCTCGCTCACTCTCGCTCGCCCTACCATGCACACACATATGCTCTCTCTCTCTCTCTCTCTCTCTGTCTCTGGGACAGCTGCCTGACTGCATGACCCTAATATCATAACACAAGTTTATTAATATGATGGTTATGATTGAAACAAGTGTGTTATTATAATGTGTGTGTGTGTGTGTGTGTGTGTCTTCAGTGTTACTGGTTCATCTCTCAGACTGGTGAAGATGAGTGGTTTTAAAGAGGAGGAAGAGGACACATCTTCAGTCTCCAGCTGTCTGTCTCTGAAGAGTGACTGGTCTAAAGATGTACCTCTAACCTTCAGTAATGAACCTGGACCCTCAGACACAAAGTAAGAGTTTCTGCTGTAACCTGACCTGAAGAGGATTCAGTTCTTATATAATCTAATATATTAAACTGTTCTTTAATAATATCATGTGTTCAGTATAGTACAGAACAAAGGCAGCAGAGTACAGGAAGCTATTTGAGGATATTTCAATATGCATTTATAGCATCATAGTATCAGTGGCATAAAAAGGTTTTAAATGACAAAAATATTGATAAATACTCACTAAAGACTAAATATATCGTCAAAAAAAGTATTGACTACTTGGGCATGTATTAATAATAGTGATAACCTGGGGAGCTGGTTGTGTTTAGCATCAGCAGATACGATAGAGCTTTGTGAGATTACATGTAGAGTCAATGCAAAGACCCAGATCCGTGCCTGGCAACACCAATAAAGTGAAGATGTGAAATTCATGTCACCGGCGTATTCGTGCAGCGTGAAACATTTCATCTTGAGTGTGACGTTTGTGACAATCTGCCCATTGGTGAGAATCAGATCCACTAATGTAAAGTGCTCTAAAGGAAGTGTTCATCTCCACAGAGGGAAGAGGAAGAGTCATGTTCCTGTGGAGGAGCAGCTGTCCAGCTGTGCTCCGTGTCAGGACGTCCTGAAGGATCCAGTCTCTACCAGCTGTGGACACAGGTTCTGCAGACAGTGCATCACCTCATACTGGGAGCAGAGACCTCCATCAGGAGGCCCCTCCTGTCCCCAGTGTGGAGAAAGATCCAGAACCAGAGCTGGCCTGCAGACAGCCAGTCAGACCAGCTCTGTGCGAGGTAAGAGGCCGAACACATGCAGCGTTTCATTCCTCTTCCTGGTTCATTTGTTTCTGAATAGGTATTCTGTTGTAGAGCACAGACATTAAAATGTTTATAAGACATTTAAACTCAGTCTTTTTTTGTTGTTTTATTGTTATAATTAGATTCTCCGAGCATTTTCCTGATTCTCTCATGTTTCCTTCTCTTCCAGCAGATAGTGGTCTGCAGGAGGTTTTAGAGGAACATAGGATCAGTCTGAGGAGGAGATGTGAACGTGTGACTGAAGGAACTGATCAAAGTGAAACCCTCCTCAACAGCATCTTCACTGAGCTCTACATCACACAAGGCCAGAGTGAAGAGGTTAATACCCAACATGAGGTGAGGCAGCTGGAGACAGCTTCCAAGAAGAAGACCCTCCATGACACTCCAATCAAGTGCCAGGACATCTTTAAAGCCTCACCTGACCAACAGACTCTCATCAGAGCGGTCCTGACCAACGGAGTCGCTGGAGTTGGAAAAAGCTTCTCAGTGCAGAAGTTCACTCTGGACTGGGCCGAGGGTTTGGGAAACCAAGATGTCAGTCTGGTGATCCCGCTCTCCTTCAGGGAGCTGAACCTGATCAAAGGTGAGCAGTACACTCAGGCTGCTCCATGTTTTCCATCCAACCTTACAGAAGGTCACAGCAGAGCAGCTGGCTGTCTGCAAAGTGCTGCTCATCTTTGACGGCCTGGATGAAAGCAGACTTTCTCTGGACTTCAGAAACAATGAGGTTGTGTCTGATGTCTCTCAGCAGTCCTCAGTCAACGTGCTGCTGACAAACCTCATCAGGGGGAAGCTGCTTCCCTCGGCTCTCGTCTGGATAACTTCCAG